TGTTTCATCTACCTACCCACCACTTTGTTCATCAAAATTCTACTGACGACTCATGTTGTGCCAGGTACTGTCTTAGGCATCAGAGGGAGGTAAGATGAGCCTGGCATGGGTCCTGTCCCTGGAGAGCTCACTGAACCAAGAACACATATGAGATGGAAGGTGCCAGCAAGAGGGTCTGCACAGAACCACAGAATCATGACTCCTTAGAGCAGGAGGCACCAGCTAGTCCATTCCCTAATTCCTCAGAGGAGGAAGCTGAGCCCAAGCAAGGGAAGATTAGTTGTCCAGGATCACAGAGTAAGTGATAGTTTTTGATTCACTACAGAAGCATGGTTTGAACACCTACTATATGCTAAGATCTGGCCTAGGTACTGAGGATACAACAGGGAACAAGGAAGACAGCCCTTGTCCCTTTGGAGCTCCAACTGTAACCAGTGGGTCCCAACCCTGGGTACACTTTAGAATCACCTGGGGAGCTTTAAAAAAAAAAATCCCAATGCCAGGGCCCCACCCTCAGAGATTCAGATTGACTTGATTTGGGGTGGCCCAGGCATGGGTGTTTTTTAACAAGCTCTCCAAGTGATTCTAATATGCAGCCAGATTGAGAACCACTGGTCTAAGAGGAGAGAGAGACAAAAACCTAGTAAACACAGATAAATATGTAATTGAGATTTGTCCTTTGCAAAGAGTGAGCAAGATGCTGAGTGAGGAAACAGCAGGGTGGGGTATCTATCATCTGCCCTAAATCTGAAGGGAGTGAGGCCACACATGGAGAGCTGTGATTCTGGGGGTCTGAAGGTGGAAGGCATAGGGTGTCCTCATGTGGGACAGTGACGGGATCTTCTGAGACATATTGTCTCACCCTGCAGATCCAAAAAACCCAGCAGTGGAGCCTTGTCTAGCAGAAGCTTTCAATCTGCAACCTGAAATATTGCCCCCCATTCACCCTACACCAGCCCCCATACTGAACCCACAAGGTCAGCTGGTTAATAATCCTCCACATTTTTAGCTTAGTTAGTAAAGCATAGTCCCAGTTATCTGTATTATTGGATCCTAACACTAATATTGTGAGGTAGGCAGGATCAAGAGCAATATTCCCACGACAGAGATGTGGAAACAGGCTCAGAAAAGTCATGTGAACAGCCTAAGATACCACAGCTAATAACTGGATGTGGGAGACTTCAGTCTAGCTCTCTGGCCTGCAACTTTACTACCCCATGTAGCTCCCAGCTGCCCCGCACCAGGAAACTGAAACAGGCAGGGCACCTGAGAGGCAGGTGGGGATACCACCCTGGGACCAGCACCTCCTGTCTAGCTGGGCAGAACTGCTGATATCCCCTCTCCTTCATCCTGGATGGCATACAATCCTGTTCCCCATCAAGCAATCAAAGGAATCTGTTACTGGTTGCTTCAGTTCCTGCCCAGAGTAAACCCAGTTACTATAGTAACAGGATGCAAGTCTTTATTACAGGGTGGATGGTTTTAATTTTGCATTTGAAGAGTTTGGCCAGGCAGTCACGTTGCCATGGCTTGGCCTGTCGGGCAGCAGTTAGGAGCAGAGGGAATCCTTTGCGGCCATTAGGTTTCTAATTGATGGGGGAAACCTCTGTCTGGAAAAACCCAGGCTCAGCTGGGGAAGGAGACAGAGAGTCTCCAGGCAGTGTTGTGCTGGATACCCTCTCCTGTGCAGAGATGACATCTTCCTGATTAGAGCTGCAGCCGAGGTGGGGCCTCTCAGCCACCCGCTCCCACAGTGCCTTCATGGTCCTCATGGCAGCTGTGCTCAGAGCTGTTTTGCTCAGCCCTGAATCCCCAGCCCTCCAGCAGACACAGGGCCTTCAGCACTTTTGTCAAATGAATGAACAAATGAATGGGCTTTTGTTGTTTATGAAGGCTTTCACAGCTATTATTATCTCCTTTAACTCCCCATGCAGCTCTGTAAGTTGCAGGGCAGAGGGAGGGGAAGCAAAGGCTCGGGAAGGTGGGAGACCTGCCCGCACAGCGCCGCCTCCCTCCCTGTGACTCTCCACCTGCTGCCGTGCCTTGCAGCAGCCTCTAAACTTACTGGAATTTGCCCCTTACTGGAGACAAGTGTTATAGGCAGACACCAAAAGCAAGGCAACCAGGAGACCCCCAACCCCCAAGTTGTCCACATCACGTGACTCGATTGGTTTGCCTTAAATTTGTGTCAGACATGACACAGATCTCTTGATAGATCTGGTTTGACTTCATTGTGTTTTACCTTCAGAGGCCCCCAGGTGTGGGCACCATGTGTCCTCTCCTGGGTCCTCGGTTACAAGGGAGAGTGAACTGTAGGGAAGGCAATGGAGGGAGGAGAAGAGAAGGTGCTTGATGACTAACTTCAAACAGCAGAAGCTTCCTTTGGCCCAGATCATGGAGGAATCAGTGGGACAGACAGACTAAAGGGTCCCAAATTCCCTAATCTCCCTGTGCCAGGTGAAGTGGGAGGGAAGGAAGGCTTAGTTCGGTCTTCGATCAGCCCCCCAACCTCCATTACTCCTTCTGTGCTAAGGGTGTATTTCCAGGTTAAATAAAACTTCCTCCACCCAATCCTTGCTCCAACATTAATTTCTTTCTAACCCAGCCTAGTTTCCTTCTAGCCTTACAGCTCAGGCCTTCCTGGGATCCCAGGCTGCTCCCCTGGCCAGGATGTGCTGATGCTGGTGCCCTTCTTCCCAGGCTCAAGCACTGTCTCATCTTAGGCCACGGGACCCTGCCTTCCCCTCCTTAAAGGCCAGCATAAGTGGCCTTGGGGAGCAACAGCTCTCTGTGGCCCTGGAGCTAGTCCTGAGTGAGATATGTACATGGTGAGCTGGGAGAGGGCAACAGCCAGAGCTGCTGGAGGGCCCAGGCCGCCTCGTACAGAGAGGGCATGGTGTGATGATAGTGCCTCCTTTGCCTCTCAGCAGTGAGGTGCACCCTGCTTGGAAGCCCCAAACCCAACATATGCCCCGATCTAGTGCCTTGCCCTCCGAGAATCAGCACCTTAGGAATGTCCGAGATGGATGGGACCTCAGAGGCCTCTCATTTCACAGATGTGGAGACTGAGGTCACAGAAGGAAAGGATGTGAAGTATTTTCCACAGTCATTAAACATGGGTGGGACCCCATGTTGGGACTTCCTTGAAGACAAAGGCTGGGCCTTCCCTATATGTGAATCCTAGTACAGAGCACAGGCTGGGCACACAGCAGGTGCTCAGTAAATGCTGTTTGAGCATGTGTCCTCATGATGTGACAGCAGGAATTTCAGCTTCTTGAAAGGTTAGAGTTAGAAGGGAGCTTAGACATCATTGAGACCAACTATCATTTCACAGAAAGACTGTGACCTCATCCATTAATAATGCTATAAGTACTTATAGCTAATGCTTATACAGTGTGTGCTGGGTGCTAGGCAGGATTCTATGCATGTTGTCTATATTAACCCATTGTGGCCTCATGGCAGCCTCTATGTAGCAGATATTATCATCATCACCAGATGAGGGAACTGAGGCACAGAGAAGTTCAGTAACTTGCCCAAGATTACACAGCTAGTTAGCATTAGGATCAGGCAGTCTGGCTCCAGAGCCCATGCCATGAACACGCCACTGCACTGTCTGAGAGCACAGCACTGCCAGCAAACAGTGCTTCTCTAGTCCCTTCTCTGAGTGGGGAGCAGGAACCTGTGCCAGCCCTTGTGAGTTCACTCATGCAGGAACCATCACTTTTCATCTCTGCATTCCTCTCCAAGGCTCAGCTCAGGGCCTGGAAGGGGCTCAGGGATGTGTTTTTAATACAAATGAGCTGCTCTTCCTCATCATCGTGAAACAGCCAGTTTGGGGGCCTGGTACCTTTGATCTGGAAGGGACCTTGGGAAGTGTAGAGTAGAAAGAAATCAACCAACTGTTCTCTCCTCCTACCAAACTCGCTCAACACAGAACCCTTCTGGTCACTAAAATGTGTGGGGTTCTACCCCCCAACCCCACCAAGCAGTTCTCCACTGGAAACCAACTGGGCATCCCACAATTTAACTCAATTCTCATACTATCTACCTGGAGATAGCATCAGATCCCACAGATTGTGGGCTTAGTTCCACAAGACTGCCCTCACTGCTGGTGCTAATTGAAAGCCCCCCAGGTGGTTTACCTGTGCTTCTGACTGACCATCTATAAATCAGGGGTTCCCATTACCCCTTCCTCAGATTTGACTATTTCACGGAACTCAGTAAAACATTTATGTTTATTGATTTATTATAAAGGATATGACAAAGCATGACCAGGCAGACAGATGACCAGGCAGATGCAAGAGATGCATAGGGCAAGGAATGGCGGAAGAGATGTGGAGCTTCCATGCCTTTTCTAGTCACGCCACTCCCCAGGCACCTCCACGTGTTCAGCAATCCAGAAGTTCTACAAACCTTGTCCTTTTGGGTCTTTATGGAGGCTTCATTATGGAGGCATCATCGATTACATCACTGGCCATTGGTGATCAACTCAACCTTCAGTCCCTCTCTCCCACATGGGGGTGAGTGGTAGTTCCAACACTCTGATTACAGGGTTGGTTCCTCCAGCAATCAGCCCTCATCCTGAGGCTATCCAGGAGTCTGTTGCCATCAGTTATCTCATTAGCATACAAAAAGACACATCACTTTAGAAATTCCTAGGGTTTTAGGAGCTGTGTGCCAGGAAACAGGATGAAGAACAAATATATTATTTCTTATTATAAATCACAATATCCCAGGAAGCAATTTGCAGAGGAGGAAAGTGAGGCCCAGAGAGTGAGAGTGTCTTAGCCAGGGTCTCCCAGCCCGCCCTGAATCCAGGTCTCTCTACTCCCCATCCAAGGCTCTCACCACACAGCCAGGCCTCCGAAGAGGGCTCTTAGGTGACTAGGCTGACCTAGGCCCAGCAGCCTGCCTCAGTCTAGCCTCCTCCTCCACCCTGCTGCACACTCTGCTTCCAGCCTCTGGTCCTGGCCACACTAACGGCTCTCTGCTCCCACCAGCTCTTCGTGATCGACAATGGCGCGGATGACTGGCGGATAGCCATGACCTACGAGCGCATCCTCTACATCAGCCTGGAGATGCTGGTGTGCGCCATTCACCCCATTCCTGGCGAGTACAAGTTCTTCTGGACGGCGCGCCTGGCCTTCTCCTACACCCCCTCGCGGGCGGAGGCCGACGTGGACATCATCCTGTCCATCCCCATGTTCCTGCGCCTCTACCTGATTGCCCGGGTCATGCTGCTGCACAGCAAGCTCTTCACCGATGCCTCCTCCCGCAGCATCGGAGCCCTCAACAAGATCAACTTCAACACCCGCTTTGTCATGAAGACGCTCATGACCATCTGCCCTGGCACCGTGCTGCTCGTGTTCAGCATCTCGCTGTGGATCATCGCTGCCTGGACCGTCCGCGTCTGCGAAAGGTATTCCCGCGGGCCCTGCTCTGCACTCCACGGGGGCCTTCTGAGCACAGAGCCTGCGCTGGGACGGGGAAGGGAGGAGGAGCAGGGGTGGCAGGAGGTCTGTGGTCTGATGGAGGAGACGGGCGTGCAAACACCTCAAAGGATAAAGAGGGGAGGGCCAAGTTGGGGCTAAATATGAGCTGGAACAGCCAAACATTGGAATCTTGCAAGGTAAGCCACGAAAAATGCATATATAATATTCCTGATTTTGTATTCCCTTTTTGTAAACTGATATATCAAAGCATTCTGGTTACATCGTTAACCCTTACTCATGTATAACACTTAGCAATTTCCATATTATCTTCCCTGTTGGAGATTAACGATGTTCGCTAGCTTTTTAAAGGCTCTGAGAAGTCCTGCAGCAATGAAATTGGTTTAATTTTTAGTTCAGATTTTCTCAAAAGTATTTGCCTGCAAACCTTTCATTGTACAACACTATTGATGTCTCACTGCTGAAAGTTTGGTCCGCAGATCAGCAGCAGCAGCAGCACTGGGAAGTTAGAATGCAGAATCTCAGGCCTCACCCTAGGACTACTGTATATAATTTGCATTTTAACAAGTTCACCAGGTGATTCATATGCATCTTAAAGTCTGAGAAGAACTGTACTGATGGAACATACTTTGGGAGGCTGGTGGCTGGAAAGTGATTCAGAGAAGTGGCTGATGAGAGAGAAGAAGGGATGTGGCCTCATAGAGATCTGGGCCTCTAGAACAGAATGCCAGCTCCTTAGTCAGCCATTATCAAGGCTCAAGAGTAGGACTGTCACTACCTCCTTCCACCACCACCCTCAAGCTTCCCTTTGTGACTCTTCTCCCTTTCAAGCTGGCCACGGATATTCATTTTAATCTGATTTCAATGTGGAGTTTGAACCTATGTTAGAAACCTGGATTTGCCCCTAAGTAGCTGTGATACCTTGGGCAAGTTACTTAACCTCTCTGGGCCTCAGTTTACTCATTTTAAAATAACAATCACTTGGGCCGGCCTGTGGCTCACTTGGGAGAGTGTGGTGCTGATGGCACCAAGGCCACGGGTTTGGATCCCTATATAGGGATGGCCAGTTGGCTTGCTTGGGAGAGTGTGGTGCTGATGGCACCAAGGCCACGGGTTTGGATCCCTATATAGGGATGGCCAGTTGGCTTGCTTGGGAGAGTGTGGTGTTGACAACACCAAGTCAGGGGTTAGGATCCCCTTCCAGGTCATCTTTAAAAAAATAGAAATAAAATAAAATAAAATAATGATCACTTGAGATAGAATGGAGATTTATCCACTTGAGAGAAATTGTTTTTGTCGTGTTGGGAGGCATAGTCAGGCATCCTGTGTAATTTACATGGACCCTGGTAGTTACCTTTAATTCATCCACACTTAAAATTGTATTGTCAAATCTTCTGTGCACAGTGTCCCAGCAGAGTCTAGAGAAGAGTTAGCCCAGTAAACCTCCTGCCCCTAAATCTGAGTCTCAGAGACTCTTTCCCAGGAATCTGACCTATGGAACTGTGAAAATGTGTATAAATAAGTATATTTTTCCTAGTCAGGCAAAGCACTTCTCTTATAAAGACCAAGCAATTTCTTTTACAATCAAACTTAAACGGTCATTGTCCTTCCCCAGTGTCAGACAATAAGTAAGATTGGCACAGTCCTTGAGACAGGAATTATTCAACCAGAGACTGCACACAAACTGGGAGCAGGGGATGCTTTGGGGGACTGAAGCTTCAGACCGAGGCGGGAGGGTGGTGTGGACAAGATGAATTTGATCTCTCTCAGCCTGATCTGATGATTATTCTGTCACCTTAGATGTCAGAGAGGGTAAATGACTTGCCCAGGGTCACACGGCAGCATGACAGGTTCTAGAAAAACCCATGGCGGCTGATGCCGAGAACAGGGCTCCTTCACATCCCAGGTGGCTTTCTTCAGCCTGGACTTATCTCTAGTTGTGTACACACACTTCTGAAGTTGCTTTGGAAATCCCTCTTCAGCAGGACACATTTTAAAAGACATTTCTCATATCTTGGGTTGACTTTTATATGGCAATAAAGGTTTTCACATTTCCTCTTCCCAAGGAGGGAGAGGGAGTTAGTAATTACACAGACCAGCCATGCTATTGGGAGGGCAGTGCCTGGTTGCCAGGAGGGCAGCGACAACAGCAGGCTTGTTTTCCTTGGACCCCAGTAAGGCATTACATCATGGGTTCCGAGGCCTGACAGTTGTGGCGCTCGGCATTCTCTGGGATTTTCTTGGCTGCATGCCCACCTCCCACAGGCCTCCCACAGCCGTCTGAGGAACCTCCTTATTAAACACTGTCAAACGCCAAGCAGCCTTACTGGTGGAGAGACCATCCGAGGCCCCAGGTCCTAATGGCAGCAGGTTGGGGAAGTTGGCTTTCCAGGCATGCCCTGATCAGTGGTCTGCCAGCTCACATTTGTATGTTCATCTCCTTGGGAGGAGCAATAAGGCCTCCCATAACATTGATAAAGTGGGCTGAGTCTTGCTGTCCCCAGCCATGCTTTGTAAATGTCCTTCCCAGCCTCTTGAATGGATTCCTTTTGGACTCTTCCTGCCTGAGTCTCCAAGTTCTGCACACGTCTGTCTCAGTGTGTCAGGGCTTCCATCCTGTCAACAGATTTTTGGTTGTGATGATGTGAATTTTCATCTTTTTCTGCAGACTGGTATTTTAATGAGAAACTTGATTCTGAAGACATGGCTCCTGGAGCTGGAGAAAAACAATTAGTGATCCATTCTTTCTTTCATTAAAAAAGAGCCACCACTCCCATTGTAAAGAAGATAAAAAGAGGCTTCCTTCCTCCACCCTTTTCTGCTCCTGACTCACACATTCAGGTCTGCACCAACCAGCAGTGGGGGGCAAGGACACAGTTCACTGCTCCTCCCCATCTCCTTCCTATAACCTCCTACTGCCTCTGTGCAGGGGACTTTGACTCCAAGAACACAGTGGGGAGATGGTTTACAGGGTGAAGCACATTGCATGGGGTTGATGGAAGCCTGCAAGCTCAGCCCTGTAGGCTGAGGAGGGCTGAGAAAAGCCTGAGGGCATCAGGGCTGAAGACTGTGTTTTCTCACGGTCCCCTTCCATTTGAGGCACAGCTTCTCATGTGCAGAACATGCACAAGGATCCATAGGGACTGTATGGGAAGAAATGATCAGAACTTCTATTCATAGTTATTTGTATCTAAAAAATGTAAGCTTGACTAATATTTAATACACAGGTAGAGAGCAATACATGTGTGCAATTTATAATAAATATATGTATAATGGGGGGGTGCATGTGCAGAAAATTTTTAGTGGTAGAGGTCCATGACTTAAAAAGTTTTCAAATCACTGGTTTAGGTTATCAGAGGACTAGTTAGTAAGGAGAGTGTGAAAGGACAAAATTACAACAAATTTAGTTAAAGATCTCGGTTGGCTTTATTGTGATTCTAGAATTGGTCAACTTGTTGTTCCATGAAATAGAACAAGTGTTCTAGGAGCCGAGCAGATGAGGCTGGTTTTACAGATGGAAAAGGCTGAAGAAAGCAGAAACAAAGAACAAAAAGCAGATTGGTCATTTCAAAGTTATTTCCCTCGTAGGGTGGGACAGGGACACAGAAAAATAAATGATTATTTAACATCAAGTTACTTCAGGCTATTCTTTTTTGTGTAAGGATTAAAGCAGAGGGAATTTTATTATCATGCCTATTGAAGATTTAAACTGGCCTATTTGGTAAATTGGCTGTTATTGCTCTCTCCCGATTTCTCAGATAGTCAGACCATAACCTAAGTGAAGTGGGATTTGGCAGGGGTGACTCCATTTTGATTTTCAGTCTGGTCTTGTGGGTCCTAGTGCAGGAACTTAGTCCAAAACAATAGCCTCCTATAATTTTTACTTAACAATAGGGAAGTATCCTACCACATTGGATGAAGCCTGCTGGGCCCAGGAACCCTGCCCTCTAGCCTAAGGCAAGCCTGTGACCAGGGGTCCAGTCTAGGCAGATCACTCGGGGAGGGGGGATAGGGGAAGGGATCCTACTTAAGGCCTTTGTAAAATACCTGCAGCATTAAGGAAGAGGAAAATAATCCTGAAGATGTGGGAAGATGTTTAATGATAAGAAACAAAAAGCAACATTAGAAGATTCTTGGGCATCCCTAACAGGGTGCAAGAAAATATAATCTTTGTGATAGACAATTAAATGAAAATGTATCTGGTTCACATAAGCAGAGAATTCCAGAAAACTAAAATTCTTTTAGCAAAAAGAAAATCCACATTGAGGGCACCAAATTTTTTAAAATGTGGATTATGGAGGACAAACTTAAATGTTCTCTCAGAATACAGAGGAGATGAGAGGAAGGATGACTAGAACAGAACTGGAGGCTATAGAATTCAGGTTAAATGCAAGAATTAGGGTTATTTCACAGGAAGAAAACAGAATAATTTGGATAAAATCATAATCAAAGATATACACGAAGAAAACTTTTCCAGAATTGGCCCAGGTGGGGGATGGGGGGGTAGATCACAGTAGTCAGATCAAAAAAGGCTTTCTGGTTTTTAGTTAAAATGGTGGGTACCCTTAGACATATCCTAATAAATTCTCTTTCTGGAAAATTTATTGATTCATAAGGTTAAATAATCCTAGAGGCACATAGGCAACACACAACTGACTTTTCCTCGGGAACCCTAAATTCCAAAAGACATTAGGACACTTCCACAGGGTTTTAAGTTTGTGATTCACCCTGTCATTCGAGTGAGGCAACAAAAGAGGGACAAAGTCATTCTTGGAGTTTTCTGGGCTCAGAAGACAAACAACCTACATTTTTTGGGGGGGGGACTTTTATGCCAGTTGACCAAGGAATTAATTGAAATTAAAATCATAATAATGAAATAATGTGAAAGAAAGTCAGGCAGCACTGAAACCAGGAATCATGAAATCAAGACTACATTTATGCATGGTTGCAAAACCAAATTCTAATGTCA